CACACAAGAGGAGGCGAGGAAGGAGAGAAAAAGGCCTGCGCAGTCCGGGAATCGAACCCGGGCCTCCCGCGTGGCAGGCGAGAATTCTACCACTAGACCAACTGCGCTTGTCGGCGTCGGCGGCGAGTGGCGCCTTCTACCACGAGTTCTTTTTCTCCTCCTCCTCCTCTTCTCCCGTCCCCAAGCCGACGCGAGCGCCGAGGCAGGCGCGGGCCGCCGCAGAAGAAAAAGAAAAAAGAGGGAGAAAGAAAAGAGTAAATTAAAAAAAACACACACACTCACACAATGTATACAAACATAGACATATATCTATTTATATGTATATGCGCACATCCTCTGGTGTGTTTGCTTTTACATCCATCTAATGCACGGAGCAGCGGCCAATGGGAGCAGGCAAAGACGCCGCCGAGAGAAAGGGAGAGAGGCAGGTGAATTTTCTAGGGGTGAATGTGCGCAGTTCAATGGTAGTTATATATATATATACATGTATATGTATGTGTATTTTCCGCGTCTACCGTCGGTCCACGAGGTGGGTGATGAGAACCGCCTTGGTTGTGTGGGGTCCTACCAGAGTTTGATGCGGCAAGGCGCGCCACCACCACCACCACCACCTCAGCGGGAAACGCGTGGCCGCTGCTCTACCCGCCCAGAGCGGCGCGTTGTCATGTGCGGGGGTCGTTGGGAGACCGACGTGTCGCCGTAGCTGCGTACCGCGGCGGGGTCCACAGAGACGACAAACGGCTGGTGCGGCGACGCCCTGGCGTTGTACGCGCACGAGTCGGGTGCGTAGCAGATGTGGCAGGGCGGCCCCGGCAGGGCCGGCGGATGTGCGGGGCACGTCGTCGCCTGCGAGACCTCCTGCTGCGGCACTCCATGGAAGTGGTAGGCGTATCCCCCTTCCTGGCCGCCCACGGGGGCCACCGCCGTCGCCGTTGTCGCGGGGGCCGTCGTTGCCGTTGCCGTTCGCTGCACGGGCGGGATTTCAGGGCGGGCCGTCGTGCTGGGCGTGTGACTCGTGCGCGCGGACGGCAGCCGCACGGCGCGGGCGTCGTACAGCCGCGGCCGCGGCGCCCCTCCCGTCTCCCCGGCCTCGTCCCCCGCCTCCGCCTCCGCCGCGGCGGCCGCGGTCTGCGTCCCGCGAAGCACCTGCACGGCCTCCTTGTTCAACGCGCAGACGCCGCGGACAAACGCCGCCTTCATCCTCTCCTCCAACCCGTCACTGCGGCGCCGCTCCTCCTCCGCGAGGCCCTTCAGCGCCTCGACCTCCGCCAGCAGCTCCGCCTCACGACACCTCCACCGTGACTCCTCGGCGCGTGCGAACTTGCTCTCCCTGCGGGTGCAGGCAAAGAGGCGCCACTGCGTGTAAGCGTGTCGGGTGTGCGTCACATTTCCAGCGTGCGCCATAACCCTGCCGAGTTGCCGCAGCTGTCTCCGCCGCGCGGCCCAGCCCAGCCAGTCCTGGAACCGCCGCTGCCACCACAGCCGCCTGTGCACATCGCCCAGGAGCCGCGCCAGTCCCCGCACCAGCGTTTGCTGTCGCCGGACGTTTGCCTCCGCGGCGCCGAGGGCGGCCTCCACCTCCCGCTTCTCTTCCTTCAGGGCCCGCTCGCGCTGCTCCGCCTCGGCCCGCAGCGACTCCTTCATCACGAGCAGGTGCTCCTTGAGGTACGGCAGCAGCAGCAGCAAGATGTCCTCTCGCAGCCTCGTCGTGTGGGTGTCGATGCCGTTGCCCACCTGCCGTAGAAAGTCCCCGAGGGGCAGCCGCCGCCGCCGCCCACCTCCGTCACGCCCTCCATCACCTCTACTGCGCTCCGTGCGCGCACGCGGGGGGGGGGGGAATAAATAATAATAACAATAATAATAATAATAAAGAAACAGCCATGGTGTGTCTGCCACGCGGGCAGCTCACCTCCAGCAGCACCAGCACACACATACGCAGAGAGAGAAAACGAAAAAAAAACTTCAAAAGAAATGGCGCCGCGCGTTACCGCCTTCCGCAGGGGAACCGTGAAGCACGGTGCACATTGCGGCTGTGTGCGAGGCAACGGAGAGGACCGCGGCGTCGGACTCCCTTCCCCCCACACGCCCCCCCCCTCCTTCTGCCACCTCGCTTTTGACCGGTGGCGCCAACTCCGCGGAGCCGGTCTCCGCGCCAGCGGAGGGTTTTTGCCTCCTTTCCTCGTAGCCGGGCCGTTGGCGGTGAGGAGTGGCACGAGTTGCACGGCGGCTTCAGCAACGCCTTCTCCAGAAAGGAGAAGCGCAGGAGGCACAGCAGGAGCTGCTGCTGCCGCTGCTGTCGGAGTTCCCCAATGATGCAGCCGCAACACACGGTAAGGGAATAAAAGTGAACAACAGAGGAACTAACGCCGATAATAATAACAATAATACGTTGACCACGCACACATGTTACCTTTCTCTCTCAAAGAGCTCCCTGGTGGAGAAATTTGGTTGTGACTCGAGCGTCTCCTCCTTCATGGAAGCGGCCGCGCTCTGCCGCTCCTGCAACTTGGCTGCCTGCTGGGGGCTCAGCGTGTTTTCGTGCGCCCGCAGCGACTCCCTGCGCTTATGCAGCTCAGCGTACTCTTTTGCGGCGAGGTCAGAGCGTAGAATGGGATTGCTTGCAACGCGGTCATGTCGCACAGCCTCACGATACAGCAGGGAGGAACCGTACGTAAATGTGGGGTGCGTGGGATTGGCCAGGTGGGCCTCCAGGGCGTGAATGGTGCGATCCAGCTCACGCCTATCGATAAGGTGGGCCAACTTTTCCCGCACGCTTGTCAACTCACGCAGAAGTATCTGCTGCTGTGCTTTGTCCCCTGGCAGAAGAATTTGGCACATGCGTCGCAGGGCGTCGTTGATTAGCTTCTGCCCCCGATTTCGGGAGGCAAGGGCGCCCTGGGTGTAGATGTACAGGTAGGCCGGCTCGTACATGTCCCACATCCTCTGCACCTCCGCCGCATCCCTGGGCTGAACCCGGAAGGCAAAGTAGAGGTGGGTCCAGAAGAGATACGGGTCGGAGCCCTCATGCTCCCGCGCCCGCCACCGCAGCACCTTCGCGCGAAACACCTCCTCGACAACCTCGTTGACGGCCGCAAAGTACTCCCCCAGTTCGGGCAAATAGGCCCCGCCGTGTGCGCGTTGCTCCATGGCTTTGAGCAGCAGCTCATTTGACGGCGTTCGCCCGAGACGCGCGTTCACGCGCGCTGTAATGCACTCCCCGAACGCGGGAAGGTTGGCGTGCACCAAGGCGAGGCGGTGGGGGAGGTCGGAGGAGGGCTCCAGCCAGTGCCGCGGCTCCTTCGCCGCGAAGAGTTTGTCAACCACCACCTCGACCTCCCGCAGGTGGCGTTCGACGTCGCAGCCGGGCTCATAGACCCGCATAAGATACTTCGCCTCCGTCAGTAGAGGCGCCTTCCACGACGGGGGCAGCCGCTCGCGCGCCGTGCGAATTGCCAGGTGGTAAAGATTCAAACACTTCTCACGGTAGGAGCGCCCCGTCTGGAAACGCCCCTGGCGAAACATAAATTCACTGTGCTCGTTGTACAAGTCGCCCATGTAGCGCATCCAGAGGTGCTCGGCCGTTTCCTGCGTTAGCGGCGCCCCTTCGAGAAAAGGGCGGGCGCGCTCCGGAAAAGGATGGATGGAGGGGTGCGTCTTCTTATTCACGTTCTCCAGGCAGCGGTCGGAGATGTCCATCGCGAGGGTTAGGCGGCCGCGGCGCTCGTTGTACCACATGTACTCCGTCTCATCCGTCACGGGGTACCACCGCCGCGAGGTGCCGGAGTGCCACAGCCCCTCCGCCTTGTCCAGCTGACCGACGATTTCGGCGTAGACGGCGTTTTCGCCGTCCAGGAAGTCCTTCTCCTCGTACTCATACGGCGGGTCCGAGTCGGGGATGGGAATCTGCACAACCCCGCTGGAGGCCTTGGCGTAGTTGGAGAACCACTCGATGGAGTCCTCAAAGAGGTCCTCCGCCCGGGTACGGAAGCGGGTGTCGGCGAACTCAATGTACATCCGGTGCAGCTGCTTGCCCGCGTAGAAGCAAAGTGCCCCACGACACCACTGAAAAAACGCCTCCACGGCGGCGTCGCGTGCGGAGTCCGTGATCCCCTCCAGACGCATGGGACACTTGAACTTGGCGTCGTTTACGTGCTTCTTGAGAAACTCTAGGCTCGTCTCCAGCTGCTCAAGGCTGCGAAAATCGGTGAGAATGAACTCCCCGAGTTCGTTGGTGATCCAGTTCATAAACGGCTTTCCCAAGGGCTCGTACTTGCGGTCGCGGATCATGATCACATAGCGCTGCGCCGGGTTCTTGCGGATGGAATCCAGCTCAAGCGAGGTCATCTCCTGTATGAAGTTCATAAAATTCGGCCCGAGCAACTTGCACTTCGCGGAGGCCCGGCGCAGGATCTCGTCCGCCTCCGCCTTGGCCGTCTTGGACTCCGTCACGCGGTTGCCCTTGAACTTGTAGAAGTCGGAAAGAAAGTGCTTCGTGTGCGCCTCAAATATCAGGCGGAAGATCGCCTCCTGTTCGGCGGGGATCGGCGGGTGCTCCGCAACCTCCCCGCGGCGGAAGCGCTCCATCGTGTCCATCAGCATGCGCTCGCACTTGTCCTCCGTCGTCACCTGCGTGAGGTTCCCAAACTCCGTCATGCGCTGCTGAAAGGCGTCACGGTACGCCCGCCAGGTCTTCTCCAGCTCAGGTTTGCTAAAGTCAACGGCGTCGTCGGCCGCCACGCCACGGTAGGGGTCCGTGATAGAATCCGTCTCCCACGGCAGCGAGGGGAGGAGAATGTCGGGATCGTACTGCACCTTTGCCTTCTTCAGCCGTTCTTGCCGCTCCCTGCGCAGCTTCTCGGACTTTTTCATCGCAGAGGCCTTTTTCGCGTCCGTCGCGTCGCCCTCCGCCGGATCGCCCTCGCCAAGCTCCCGAAAAAGTGGCAGGGGCTTGTACCCCTCCACCAGCTCTGGCAACGACCGCAGCTTGTGCATCTTCATCTCGTCAAAGGCCGAAACACCAGTGAGGGCCTCGTCGTTTGTGATGCGGTTCTCCTCCGTGAGTGGGGGGGGCTGATAGTACTCCACCCGCGCCGACTCCCGCGCCTCTAAAGGGTCATGGGTCAAGTCGTACGCCTGAATGAGTGGTTCGGTCTCCACCAGCGTTTCGCGGTACCAGCCTGGCATTTTCTCCATCGCACGCTCCTTTGGGACGTTGTAGAGCTCCGCCGGGACGTCCGGCTCCGCGTCTGGCGGACGCTGCCCCACGTGAAGAAAGCCGGACGGCGTCTCCGCCTCTCCCGCCTCATTTGCCGCGGATCCTCGCCGCTGACGTGCAACGGGCGTCGCGGGGGCGGCCGGGGCGGCGTCCTCAGATGCCTCCCCGCTCTTCCGCTCCTCCAGAGCTGGGACAGTTTTGCCCTCAATTTCCTGCAAAACGCTCTCCACGGAGTTCAGCACGGAGGCGCCGTGGCTCTTTTGCAGGCGCCTCGTCTCTTCAATTTTTTTCTCAACCAACGAGCGAAGTATGGGGCGATCGCCGTGCTGCTTGGAGGTGTTGTGGTGGGCCTTCATGAGGGCGGGAACCGCGTCATGGCCCGCCTGCTTCGCCATGTCGGCGGTTTGCTCCAGCATCTCATTCTGAATACTTGCCTCTGCGGCAATGGCGGCCCCCTGCTCCACGGTGATGCCGGTGGGAAGCGGCTCCATCGCGGCCTTTGGAAATCCAGAAATGGGGTCCACTTCCACAGGGCCCGAGTTTCTGCTGCGGTCGAGCGCCTGCTTGGCCCCGTACGCCTGAATCTTCAGCTTTGTTCGTGCCACCTCCAGCGGGTCCGCTGTGCCTGAGAGGGCTTGGTACGTCTGCTCCGGGTCGAGGTCCACCACCCCGGCGAGGATCCCGCTGTAGACGTTGCCCATCTCCAGCTGACGCTGCTCCTCTTCCTCGATAAGGGTTCGCTCCTCACGGAGGCTTTCATGCACCGCGTTGCGTTCCTCCCCCTCTATGAGCCACATACGATCCTTGTACTTGGTGTCGGCCAGGTGTTTCCAGGAGGTGTCCGACCACCGCTGGTCGGAGGGAAGCACCCGACGTCTACCGTGCACATCGTAATGGTCTAAATAGTCTGTGTAGCCTTGTGGCCAAATCATACGATCCTTCTGCACCTTAAAGGAGCGATCCTTCCAATGCAGGTACCACTCCTGCTCTCGCTCAATGGGGTCCTGAATGTAGAGGTCAAAGCGGTCACGGACCTCCTGAATCATCTCCTCCGCGGTTGGTATAAGTCCCTTTCTCCACCGCACCTCCCAGGGAAGCCCATCCACGTCCTGCTGCTCCTGCAGCATGTCACGCCGCGTCTGCTGTGAGCTCTTCGTCAGCCGCTCCCCAGGGCCGTATTCCCCAAAACGGGCTCGCATCTCACGCTCCTTTTCCACGTCGGTGCGATTGCGCCGCTCCGCCGGGACGTCGGGGACCATGACGTGCTCCAAGTTGTTAATCCCAAACTGAAGGTGCTGCGTCATGTCAGGCGGCTCCACCAGCGACATTTGATTTCCCGTCGTGGGGTCGGCGCCTGGGCGGGCTCGCTGCTTGTCGCGGGACGGACCCACGCAGCCACGGGCCTGGGGAAGCGCGGCCCCCGCCGGGGGGCCACGGGACGGCCCAGGGCCCAGCGGCACCCCAACAAACCCCGAAACGGGCACCTGCGGGTAAAAACGACGCATGCGTCTCACCCTCCTCCCTACAGAACCCCACCGCTTTATCCTATCCTTCGCTCCTCGGCCTGGAAAACGGGCGTAGGAGGTGTGCGAGGGTTGCGCGTCATCGGAAAAAAAAAGAGTGAGAAGGGGAAAATTGCAACCTGAAAGCGGAACTCATGCAATGTAACAGCATACACACACAGAGGGAAGGGGCAAAGCTCTCGAGTGCAGCCTGTGGCAAAAATGCATGGCCCGAAAGGCATCTTCAGTACTTCGATGACGTCGGCTATCACATCCCTGTTGTTCGCTTTCTTTTCTTTTTCCTTCCTTAATTTTCTTCTCTAACTTCGCGCTTCACGCCCTGCTACCCACGCAATGCCCCTGCGCCGTTCGGGCGGCTGGCACTGTCCCCCCCCCCACCTCCTTCAGGTCACCACCTCCGCAAAGCTGGTCTTGTTCTGTGGCGTATACGTAGACGCATATACATGTATGCACACACATGTAGACCTTAAAGGGACACCAGAGTCCAGCCTTCCCCGCATCCTCCAACCGAAATATAAAAAAGCAATGAAGCACATATATATATATATAGTAA